CGCTGTCTCTCTCTCTCTCCTAGAAATAAATAAAACATTAAAAAAAAAAAAAAGAAATTGTGAGATACACACACACACACACACACACACACATATAATAGTCAGCCATAAAATAGAATGAAACTTTCCCATTTGTGACAACATGGATGGGCCTTGAGGATGTTATTCTGAGTGAAACAAGTGAGACAAAGACAGATACCACATGATCTCTCTTATACGCAGAGTCTTCAAGCTCGTAGATACAGAGAACAGATTGGAGGTTGCCAGAGATAAAGAGCTGGGGGTGGAGGTGAAGAAATGGGTGAAGGTAAAAAAAGAATTTTTCAAATTATAAACAAATAAAGAAATAATTTGGTAAAGAAACTGAGGCAAGGAGGAAATGAGAGCTTTGAAGAAGGATGAAGAAAGGATGTTAATATCCAAAGGGTGACAATCTTCTTCCCATACTGTTGTCAGAAGGAACCATATCTGCCTCTATGTTTCACATCATCAATGCAAAAAGAGCAACACAATCAGTTGTATAAATTACAGTCTCCAGGAAATAAAAAATAAACTTGTCTACCCAGAGGTAGAACCACTGGTGCTGGGGCAGAGCCTGGAGAGAACTTTTGGTGATCTGTGTCGAAGGACATTGCGCCAGGGTTCCCATGTCCCTATCAGCTGCATCAGATCACTGGGGAAGATAGTTTTGGAACACACATTGCCCCAACCCCTCGCTCAGAAATGCAGGTTCAATAGGCCTGAGGTGGGCCTGAAAATCTGCACCGTTTAAAAGCAATTCAATTGATTCTGATAAAAAGGAAAAACTGAAGGCCACTGATAAAGCCACCCTTAAAAATGTCTTATAGGAAAGAACAATAAGTGTCTTAGGATTGTTTTTTATGAATCCTACAGTGTGGACTGAGAACCGAAGACCAGAGTGCACCTGAGGGTCTCACTGTCCTTGACCATGGCTGTCTACCGATTAGAGTTCTGACAATTTCTAAGTTGGTGGTGGAGGATGGGGGAGTCATTCAGGCTTCTCCTTCAACAGTCAGAAACTAAGTGGTTAATCTCAGCCTCCAGATTTCATTCGGGTTTCAGACGATAAATAGTGCTCATGTCTAGATGCCACCGTTGGGTTTTCTTACAGTCATACCAAGATGAATGCTTTTATCTGTTTTTGTTTGTTTGTTGTCATGGTTCTTAGAAATCATTCACCAAGACTACTCTACTAGAACTATTTAGATAAGCAGATGCACTAGGTTAAAAAGGAACTTAATTAAAATTATAGCACCACTTTGAAAGTTAGTAGTAAACAAAGGTTCTTTTGGTATTCCATTTTGTGTCATTTTAATTCATTAACAATATACTGATTTTGACCCATATATTCCAGGCTATATTTTCTTAGAAAAGAAAGAGGGGAAATCACAGAGACTCTGGACTTACCATTAGAGGTGCCTGGGTGGCTCAGTCAGCTAAGGATCTCACTCTTGATTTTGCCTCAAGTCATGATCTCACAGTTGATGAAATAGAGCCTCATGTCTGGCTCTGCACTGACAGCAAAGAGGCTGCTTAGGATTCTTTCTCTCCCTCTCTGCCCCTCCCCCTGCTCTCTGTCTCTCAAAATAAATAAATAAACATCTTTTTAAAGTACTATATAATTTATTTAAATTCCAATCTTTGGAATATATAGTTGCAAGTCTCTTTAACCTAGCCAAAGGACTGCTGAGGTTCCTCTGATTATAGTCGGTGAGTATCCTGAAAACTTCCACTAAAACCTGAGACTTATTTTGATTTTAGACTCCATCCTGTTCCCATCCAATAGTAAAGCCAGATAAGGCTGCTGGAGAGGAAGTTTCTGTCAACAGCTATGGTACTTCTGGTGACTCTTCAACTGGAAGATCAAGAGTTTATTTTGATGAGTACAGATGATGGAACCCACAAATGAAAAGTATCCCTCATTCTCCCAGGGAAGTAGGATTTTATGAAATATACCAAAATCTTCCCAACCTAGACTAAAATAATATAGTGTTTTAGTTTAGGGAATTCCGTCTTTGAGAGATTATTTGATTCCCTCTATGACCTCAAAGAAAAGCTGAGAGCCAAAAGAAGGTAAATATACAGATTTTTAAAACTGCTCAAAGGTTTTGGGGGACCATGGTTGCCTGTTGTCATTCTAAATGATCCCACTGTTTCTCTTCTTCGCAACTGCAGACAGATCACATTTGCCTTCTCCGCAGGTACTGAAAAGAGCTTCATGCTTTACTCTATGTCCAATCAGTTTTAACACAACATGACAGTCCTAAAAGCCATTAGGACCAATATAATGTGCAAACTAAACTGATATACAATCAGGTGACTGACTAAGCCAGTCTAGAACCAGGTAGTAGAATTAGTCCTACCATCTGACCCTCATAGTTTCTGCACATAATAAATCTCCACTTACCCTGAAATGATAGGAAGAGAAGTGCTTCAAACTTGATTACTTCAGAAAAGTGTCTCATTAAAGGAGAGAAGCTCTCAGTCTGCCAGGCTCCCTCTTCCTCTTGATTAAGCTCTCTGTTTGGAACGGGTCACATACATGATGGAGAAAGGAAACGGTTTGACTTGGCCTTGGGGTAATGCTTCTAGATCTCTCCAAAGCTTACCACTTCACAGGATTGCTGAGGCACACCTGCACAGCTATTCATATGTCGTCTTGTGAGTGATTTGAGTACCAAATGCATTCAGACTGCACATTCGGGTTCTTTGTATCGTGAATGACTCAGCCCTGCTTTTAAGGTTTCACACGTTGACTTCCTGTTTACCAACGTTAACTTCTTCAGCCTTTTTTGCTGAGTCACATCAGTCGACTCCAGAGTGGCAAACTCTCCTCATCACCTTTTATTCCCTATGAAAAGATGGTGCTCTTTTTCTGGTTTTGACGGTAAATGCCTGTGTAACAGCCTGCTAGAGGTTTACACTGAGGCTTGCCTGTAGGACTTAGAAGTAAATAGAAGGAAATTGTCCTCTGAGTTAAAAATTTAAACTGCATACATATTGGATCAGAGCAGAGATACACAAGATCACTCTGAAGAGATGACGAGGTTCCCAAGTCTGCAAGACCAGCTGCAGGCTGCTTGAAGGTCAAGAATTCTTAAGATGAGCATCCCAGGCTCAAGGAGAGGAGGACAGCTATGGATACTGGGAAAAGGGGGCAACACAGGCAGTGGACCAACCAGAAACGATGAGGAAGGGAGGAGGGACCAGCAAGCCCATTCCCACTTTAGCCCGATGCCACTAAGCATTCAGCTGACTTATCTGGTCTTTTTCAAATTCCACACTCACCAAACCTCTGTGAGCATTTTGCTCCCTGTAGCTGTTATTTCTTATTGCATATAAATAACGTTTTGCTTTCCCATATCTATGATAATATTTCTTAACCTCTAAATTTGGGTTATTTGAGTTTCTCTTTAAGAGTCAAATTCATTCTTGGGGTGCCTGGGTGGCTCAGTCAATTAAGCTTCCAGCTTCGGCCTAGGTCATGATCTTGTGGTTCACAAGTTCAAGCCCTGTGCTGGGGCTCTGCGCTGACAGCTCAGAGCTTGGAG